ATATATATATATATATATATATATATATATATATATATATATATATATATATATATATATATATATATATATATATATATATATATATATATATATATATATATATATATATATATATATATATATATATATATATATATATATATATATATATATATATATATATATATATATATATATATATATATATAAGATTGTGTTGAATGCCTTAAATAATTGTAAACAGGTCTTAATTTTCCTCTGTCCAAGTAAAGCTACCCAGCTACCCAATCGGGTTGACATCCATCAGATCACCAACAATCCATCTTAATAAAATAAGGGGAAGGAATCTAAAAGCAATTGCACAGGTCCTTATGATAGTAACAGAGGAGTTTACCCCTTTACGTTATCTTCCATTCATACAAAAACTATTTACAGAAGTAATGGGGAGTAAATATAAAATTTATAAATAGACATGAAATGTAAGGTTTTATAACAGAATGCAATAATTTGAATAGAAGTTATACTCAATCAATTTAGACCAAAGCAACAACAAATACAGTTAAAGTCATAATTAGCCCCTATTGATTTTTTTTATTTTTAAACTATTTGCCAAATGATTTTTAACAGAGCAAGGAAATTTTCACAGTATGTCTGATAATTTTTTTTTCTTCTGGAGAAAGTCTTATTTGTTTTATTTTGGCTGGAATAAAAGCAGTTTTTCATTTTTTAAAAACTATTTTAAGGTGAAAATTATTAGCCCCTTTAAGCTATATTTTCGATTGCCTACAGAAAAACAACAACATCGTTTTACAATAACTTAATTATTATTTAGTTAAGCCTAATTACCCTAACCTGCCTAGTTAACCTAATAAACCCAGTTACGCCTTTAAGCTGTATAGAAAAATATCTAGTTTAATTTTATTTACTGACATCATGACGAAGATAAAATAAATCAGTTATTAGAAACTTTTATGTTTAGAAATGTGTTGAAAAAATCTTCTCTCCGTTAAACAGAAATTAGGGAATAAAAGAAATCGGGGCAAATTATTCAGGGGGAGTAATAATTTTGACTTCAACATATATATTTATTTATTCATTTGGAAGGAGAATTGTGCCCCAGTAGAGCTTTATGTCCAGCAACGCCACTGGCTGAGCGTATGTATCTAGCTGACGTCCCATAGCCCCACCTTTCTCAGAGTGAAACCGAAAGCGTTCGTGTCGAGTGAAGAAACGCCATTTTGAAGGATTGAAGAACAAAAGTTTCCTTCGTGTGACACGGTAAGTTCGTTGTAAAGTTTTATAACTTGAATAACATACAGAGCATTTGCGTGTGATGTCGAACTCACAAACTTAGATTCAGCTCCCGTTACTGTCGTGCCATTCGACGAAAGCTGTTAACTTAGCCTACTGTAAAATGGCTGACATGGTTTAACGTTGTATAATCATCTATAATCATCTTCATCATCATTATAATAATTATCATTAGTTGTAGAAGAATTGTTAGTATTCACAGTCACTGTTCTGTTACTTGACGTTTGGTCAGCTGCTTTGAGCCCAAACAGGCCCTGATTTTATTCATGGCATTATTCTTACCGAAATTGTTTTTCAATTCAATTCAGCTTTATTTGTATAGCGCTTTTACAATGTAGATTGTGTCAAGGCAGCTTCACAGAAATGGTCATAGTAACTGGAACAGTGTAGTTCAGTTTTTAGTGTTTAAGATCATTTAAGTTTAGCTCAGTCCAGTGTGATTTAATCATTACTGAGAGTTCAAACACTGAAAAGCAAATTCATCAATGCGTAACGTTAGCTCTATTGTATTTAAATTTAGTCTGCTAACCATGTAAAAGGGGGATTAAAGGCTCTAAAAGGGACCCGATTATAAGCTTTAAGGCAAAGTTGGTTTTAAATTCGCACAATCGTTCAGTTTATAACAGTAATTACACGGTACCCGTATAGTTTACCACTCTTACTTTGACAGTTGATCTGACGAAATCTGTGACCCGTCGAAAACTGTGACCAGAGGGCGCTGTTCAGTAAAAATTTCACTCGGGAACGTGCTTGTCGCTCATGCACGCGACCGTGAACGCGCAGACACTGAAATCAAGAAATCCAGTTACTGAAATGCCATCCCTCTTTTATTTGTGTGATTAATAAAATAAAAATGTTTATCTTAAGTATACAAACAAAACATCTCAATAAATTTGAATGTCATCGAAAAGTTGATTAATTTTACTATTTCATATATTAAATAAACACTTGAAATATACGAATATGTGTGTAATAAATCTATATGATATACGAGATTCACATTTTGAATTTAATTAGTAAAATTAATCTTAGCTCAGATTTTTATTATGAATTAAATGAAATTTATTAAACATTATAATTAGGTTCATACAGGGATAACACACTTGTATGGCTATGAATCTTACCTGTATGACATGTAATTTGAACTCAGTAATTAGTATTTGTAATGAACAAACTATACGATTTTTTCAACTCAATCTCATAACTAAATGTTTAGTTTTACCAGTCCAGGAGACAACAACAACAACATATCAAGACTCTGTTAAAGTTCTTCCATGAACCTATTAAGAAATGTAATTTAATATTTATTATTTATTAGGAAATGAAAAAAATCATACTTTAATAATGATATTAATAATGTTAATGATGACGATGATTATTTATTATTATTAAGTAGGATATTGTTTATTTAAATTTTTGAAAAATCTACTTTTACAATTTGACATGCAAACCACTGCAGAAATGTTCTAACAAGCTGGTCCATGTCATATACTGTACACTTAATAAATAACCTAGAAAATAAAAGCATTAACGCATGCTATGTTTTTTTGTTTTCAAATTGTGAAACTCATATATTAAATAGATTTATTACACACCGATTGATATATTTCAAGTGTATATATATATATATGAATTATATAGAAATGGTGAAATTCATCAACTTTTCGATGACATTCTAATTTATTGCGTTGTTTTATTTGTATATAGTCTGCTATTCAATGGAAATAAAATTCATAGCCATTGAAATATGTTAGGCTACACCATATGTTGACTGATTATAGTATTTAATAAAGGGATAAAGGTTATGTGTCAGTCCATTATCTTTCTCTTTTATAAAGCAATATTGACTTACTCATGTTTAGATACAGTTGACATGATCTTTAGGTCACTGAATCCGATGAGTAAAAACAGATACTTCACCCCAGAATGAAAGCTATCAGTTTTTCAATGTGATTTTTTTATTAACTTTATATTCTTTGTTTTCAACTTTCATAAAGACAGTTGAACTTTACCTTTTGATAACAAATTTCTAACCTGTGACATTTATTTTATGTCTAGAAAAACTTAAAGCCACCTGAGGGAATATCAGTGTCATTAACTTGTTACTTATACCAGTTGCTGACATGTAATTAATGCAAATTGTAGGGTGTAGGATTTCTGTAATGTCTAATCGCTAATTTTGATCTGTTGTTTCTCAAAAATATCAAACATGCATCCTTAGAGAAAAAGAGAAATAGAAATTCTGTAGGCATATATTTTATCTGTCAGAGTCAATGACCTTTATAAAGATTTCAAAATCAGATCATATGGAGGAGCGTTATGAGTCATTTTAATAAACATTATCATTCATATGAAAATAAGAAGGGCCTATGGCTATATATTTCAGCATTTGTAAATAAATATCTGGTCAATATGCTTTAGATACATAAGATATGATAAATTTATTTTATTAAACATAATCACACAAGTAAAAGATGGATGGCATTTCTATAGCTGAATTTCCAACACAGTTTATAAAATATATATTAGTCTAATATCTGGTCAAAATGTTATACAAATAAAAAGAAGATTGCCTGACTGTTAAATTTAAACATTGCAATCTGGCATATATTTAGATGGCTATGAATGTTACCTCAGAATCTGTGAAGCAGATCTACCGTCATGTGTCAATGCATATCATAACGAAACCTACAAATACGAGTCTATCAGGAGACAACAACAGCGACAATAAGTTTTTTTTATTTCTTCTTTACAAGAATTTGGATGGTCAAAATATCAGGACTACGTAAAATTTCTTCCATGAACCTGTATTCTGAATCCCAGCATTTAAAACACCCTTTACAGCACCGCTCGACGCTGATTTCTTGATTTCAGTGTCTGCGCATTCACGGTTGCGTGCATGAGCGACAAGCACGTTCCCGAATGAAATTTTTATTGAACAGCGCCCTCTGGTCACAGTTTTCGACAGGTCACAGATTTCGGCACAACATGTGTAAATGTGTAAATATAAAACCATCTTATCTCAAGATTATAAGCAGTGTTTAGGGATGAACAATTATGTAAAATCACAGCATACACAGAGATGGTGTTTGTGTTTTTTATTTATTATTTTTCCCAGAGTTGTCCTGAGATGCTGAAACACTGTATAGTATCATATGGTGCACGCATTTAAATAATCTTGTACTTCTCTCCTGAACACACACAGCATCACACTTACATAGTTTTTGGATATATTATATTTGTCATTTATATCAGAAATATAACAGCCTAAAATATTACAGCCTCTTTTGTGGCATAGAATTTAAATAGTAATAATAATAAAATAATAATGTTAAATTGTATCTAAAATATTGCAGTGCTAAAAAGATTAGCACATGCATGTTACAGAAAAGTGTCAAAGTATTACAAATATTTTGAATGTAATGCAAAATTTAATCTGATAATATTAAATGTCAGATTTTTTTAACCTTTTTTAAATAAATAGAATCATGAGAAAACCGCGATTTTTATTCTGTATGATCCTTCAATCATGATTCTCATTTTATCCAGATTTGTGCAGTCCTAGTCTTACTAGTCAAGCTAAAAGTTTTCAGGTAGGTGTATAGGCAAGTTGGCAGCACCGTGGCCCTCCAGAACACCTCACAGAATACAGTTGTGGGGTAAGATTTTGTTTTACATTTACATTTTAAACCATACAAATCTTCTTTGGTTACATGGAATCCAATAAAAAAATCTGGTGAACCCAAATAATTTATTAACATGCACTGTTGTAACAAAATATCATGTATATTGTGTGTTTCTGTCTCCACATACAGGCCTGAAATCAAGTGTCTAATATAATAGGAGGAGAAATAGAAAAGCCAATCAAAGTAGTCATTAAGGATGGAAAGGGAAGCTAAACATTCAATTGAAATGAGTGTGTTTGAAGAGAGAGAGGGGGAGGCTTCCATTCAGACTGTGAGAGCAGTTTCTCCGTTATCTAGCTGTGTGTCTATGAAGAGTGATCACTCCATGGGTCTCCCCCCTGATCTCAGTGATGGAGCTGTTAACGCTGTGTGAGTATCATGTAGTTACTCAACTATCTGCTGTAATGAAACCTGGATATGACATTATTTAAAATGCTCAAATCTGTATTGTAAAATGTTAGAACTTTCAACAGTTTACACACACAGCTGACACGTTAAATTTATCTTCAGGAAATTACATTATGCATTTATTATGTGTAAACTGGTTTACAGTATATGCTTGCCTTAACATCAAAATGGCTGAAAACCAAATGTTAAAAAACTTACCACCAAGGGTAGCTGAAAACAAAATCATGTAGGAATCAAAATTATTTATTTATACAAAACATTTAATTTCCCTTCAATTTATGCTGATAAATTATAATTTAATGGAAGATAAACTGCAAAGTGTAGAATGTATTGTTTACTTTGTTTCCACAGCAGCAAGAGAAAGAAAGAGTCTTCTCCATTATCTAGCTGTGTGTCTATGAAGAGTGACCACTCCATGGGTCTCCCCCCTGATCTCAGTGATGGAGCTGTTAACGCTGTGTGAGTATCATGTAGTTACTCAACTATCTGCTGTAATGAAACCTGGATATGACATTATTTACTGTAAAATGCTCAAATCTGTATTGTGAAATGTTAGAACTTGCAACAGTTTACACACACAGCTGACACGTTAAATTTATCTTCAGGAAATTACATTATGCATTTAATATGTGTAAACTGGTTTACAGTATATGCTTGCCTTAACATCAAAATGTCTGAAAACCAAATGTTAAAAAAGTTACCACCAAGGGTAGCTGAAAACAAAATCAAGTAGGATTCATGTAGGTTATTTATTTATACAAAATATTTCATTTCCCTTCAATTTCTGCTGATAAATTATAATTTATCTATGAAGAGTGACCACTCCATGGGTCTCCCCCCTGATCTCAGTGATGGAGCTGTCAACTCTGTGTGAGTATCGTTCGAGGTTACTAAAGTAACCCTTCGTTCCCCGAGGAGGGGAACGGAAGCACTATAAGTGGATTTGATTGTTAAAATCCACGTATTGGGAGATTCGGTTCAGAAGCTACTCGTCTGAAAGAGTATTGAACGGGCCAATTAAGAATGAATTGGCAGCGCAAGCCTGCGCAGGTGAGCGGCATAAGCAATCAACTGAGTATATAAGCTCACCTGGCGCCAGCAGACGCTATCCTTTTTAAGCTGAAGAGACTTTTAACAGCTAAGGGGCAGTCATTATGGCGACGGAGTATAGTGCTTCCGTTACCCTCCTCGGGAAAAAAGGTTACTTTAGTAACCTCGAACGTTCCCCTTCGGGGGGAACTCCAGCACTATAAGTGGATTTGATTGTTAAAATCCACGTATTGGGAGCCCATTGAAAGCGCCATAATGACTGCACCTTACCAACACCCACCATGAGAGAGCGGTCAGGCAAGCGTGACGCACCCAGACCATGAGAGGCGTGGTCCTCCAACGTGCCCTTGGCCCTAACTTATCCCACTTCAAAAAGAAGTTTTACGGAATAGGTATCTTTTTTGGGAGTCGCTAGCGTCTAGATAATTCTAGGAATATACGACAGTACGTTGGGAAGCGTGCCATCCCAGTAGGGAGGACGCTGCGGAGACCATCCGCACCCAATAGGGGGAAACAAATGGAATTACATATGGACTAACCCTGAAAAGGGGGAGTGCACATAAAAGGTGGTTAGCAGATAGGGAAAGCACGGGTCCGCCCAGGGGGGGAACTTAACCGTGGCGGAAAAAGCAAATGGGGATCACCAGCGGGGATCGGCCATAGCAGGCACCTACACCCAAAACGCGGGCTGACCAGTGGGCAGACCTACTACGTAATGGGCCAGCAAGTGACTCCTCCGCTGAGTCAGTGCTGGGGGCCTCGGAGGAATCTGCAGGGCTTACCGAATGGGGAACTTTACTGACAGAGAGGAGGGTGCACATCTCTCCGTGTTATGGAAAAAAGGCACCGCAAGCATGTACAACACCTACCGAGTTGTTTCCCCAATCACCAAAGGTACCTAACACCCTTGAGGAAACCGGCTCCACTCGCAGATTATAAAATCTTGCAAGTGTTGGGTGTCGCTCAGCCCGCAGCTCTACAAATGTCTGCTAAAGAAGCGCCACGCGCACACGCCCAAGAGGATGCAACGCTCCTAGTGGAGTGCGCATGCACTCCTGGGGGGTGCGGCTGGCCTCTGCTCAAATAAGCACATGAAATGGCCTCCACAATCCAGTGGGATAAACGTTGTTTAGACACGGCACTTCCCTGCTGCCGTCCGCCAAAACAGACAAAGAGCTGCTCAGAAGATCTAAAGTTCTGAGTACGGTCCACATAAATGCGCAGAGCGCGAACTGGACAAAGTAAGGACAGGGCTGGGTCTGCCTCCTCCGGGGGCAGCGCTTGCAGGGTTACTACCTGATCTCTAAAAGGAGTGGTAGGAACTTTGGGCACATAACCCGGGCGGGGTCTCAGGATAACGTGAGAAAATCCCGGCCGGAATTCCAGGCACGAGTCACTGACCGAAAATGCCTCCAGGTCCCCGACCCTCTTAATGGAGGCCAACGCGACCAGCAGAGCTGTCTTCAGGGACAGAAATCTTAAAGATACTGTATCGAGTGGCTCGAAGGGATCAAATCGCAAGCTCGTGAGAACGAGGGCGAGATCCCAAGAGGGCGTGAGAGGGGGGCGAGTTGGATTAATTCGCCTAGCGCCTCTGAGGAACCGGATGATGAGGTTATGCTTTCCCACGATGCCGCCAGCCACCGCGTCATGGTGAGCGGAGATGGCAGCAACGTAAACCTAGAGAGTGGAGGGCGACAGCCTGCTGTCCAGCTTCTCTTAAAGGAAAGAGAGCACAACACTGATCTGGCAAGATCGGGGGTCTTCTCTGCAAGAGACACACCACTCAGTGAATAGACTCCACTTCAGGGCGTAGGCGCACCTCGTGGAGGGGGCTCTAGCCTGAGTGATGGTATCAACCACCGCGGGCGGCAGGTTACCTAAGTCTTCCTCGCGTCTATGGACCACACGTGGAGGTTCCAGAGATCGGGACGAGGGTGCCAGACGGTGCCTTGTCCCTGAGAAAGTAGGTCCTCTCTCAAAGGGATCTGCCAAGAGAGGGCCGTCGCGAGGAGGGAGAGCTCTGATATTCAGGTTCGGTTGGGCCAGAGGGGCGCAACTAACAAACCCTGCTCCTCATCCTCCCTGACCTTGCACATTAACTGCGCGATCAGGCTCACTGGGGGAAACGCATACTTGCGTACGCCCCGAGGCCAGCTGTGGGCCAGTGCATCCGTGCCGAGAGAGCCCTCGGTCAGGGAATAAAACAACTGGCAATGAGCGTTCTTGGGGGAAGCAAACAGATCGATCTGGGCCTCCCCGAATCGCGCCCATATCAGCTGGACAGACTCGGGGTGGAGTCTCCATTCTCAAGAGTGAATCTGCTGCCGTGAGAGCACATCGGCTGCACGGTTGAGCATACCTGGGATGTGAATGCCGCGCAGCGACTTCAGCCGCGGGTGACTCTAGAGAAGCAGACGGCGGGCGAGCTGAGACATGCGGCGAGAGCGCATACCCCCCAAGCGGTTGATATACGCCGCCGGAGAAAAACGGCGAAGAGCAAGGAACACTGCCAACAGCTCTAGGCGATTGATGTGCCAATGCAGCTGGGCACCTACCCACAGGCCCGCAGCTGCATGCCCGCGACACACGGCTCCCCAGCCTGTGCTGGAAGCATCTGTCGAAACAACAACATGACTGGACGCCTGTCCCAGAGGCACACCGGCCTGCAGGAACGAGGGGTCGTTCCAGGGGCTGAGTGTGCGGCGACACAGCGCAGTAACAGCGACTCGGTGTGTGCCCGCATGCCATGCGCGTCTCGGAACTCGATCCTGAAGCCAGTGCTAAAGTGGTCTCATATGGAGCAATCCGAGCGGCCTGACAGCCGCAGCGGAAGCCATATGCCCCAGGAGCCTCTGAAAATATTTCAGTGGGACCACTAACTTGCTGTCGAGCTCCCTCAGACAGTTCAGCAGCAGGCGAGCGCGCTCTTCGGAGAGGCGCGCTACCATGGTGACCGAGTCCAGCTCCATCCCGAGAAAAGAGATCCTCTGCACCGGGGCGAGTTTGCTTTTTTCCCAGTTGACCTGCAACCCCAATAGGCGGAGATGCCGGAGCACCTCCTCTCTGTGCGCAGTCAATTGCTCCCGAGAGTGGGCTAAAATCAGCCAGTCGTCGAGATAATTGAGTATGCGGATGCCCGCAAGCCGCAGAGGCGCTAGGGCACCCTCCGCGAGTTTGGTGAAGACCCGCGGAGACAGAGAGAGCCCGAAGGCGAGGACCTTGTACTGCCATGCTCGACCTTCGAACGCAAACCGCAGAAACTGACGGTGGCGCGGAAGAATGGAGACATGAAAATACGCGTCCTTCAGGTCTATGGCTGCAAACCAATCCTGAGGACGAACGCATCGGAGGATGCGCCTCTGCGTAAGCATTCTGAACGACAGCTTGTGAAGGCAGCGATTCAAAACGCGCAGATCTAGGATTGGCCGTGACCCACCGCTCTTTTTGGGTACGATGAAGTACGGGCTGTAAAACCCACTCTCCATCTCGGCTGGAGGTACCGGCTCGATTGCACCCTTCGCCAGGAGGGCAGCAATCTCCTCTCGCAAGACAGGGGCGGACAGGGGATTGACCCTGGTGAAATACACGCCCGTAACCTGGGAGGCCGTTTGGAGAACTGTAGTTCGTAGCCGAGTCTGATCGTGCGTATGAGCCACCGCGAGGGGCTGGCCCGCGCTAACCAGGCAGGCAGAGCCCTCGCTAATGACGTCATCGCAGCAATCGTTCACGTACCCGCGGAGGGGCAGCGAGGAGCGGGTGTGCTGATCCGGGGAGCGCGAGGGTCCCACAGAAGAGCTGGAGGAGAGTGATTTGCTCTGGCTCCGCACCCTGACTCCGAAGGGGGGGCTTGGGGGCTGGAAGAAGGGAGACCGTCCCCCCAGCGCCCGTGAGCTGCTGGCGGAGCATGCAGACCTTGCGAGCTGAGAGGCGGCGCGTCCCAGGCTGGCAGGGCCTGCAGTGCCCGTGAGCCACTGGCGGAGTGCACCGAACCTACGAGCTAGAGAGCTGAGCTCAAACTGGCAGATTTCGGGCTGTCACCACCGGAGAAGTGGAAAAGTGCCCTTTCATTTCATGGCAGTAAAAAGTGCCGTTGGAAATGGCGCCCCGCCCTCCAGCGGGGAAAGAGCAAGTTCCCTCCTCTCCAGATGACCTGTCCCAGGGACGCTTCGCGGTCCGTTGCCAGACTTAGCGGAGTTCTGGGCAGGGGGAGTGGCCTGCTTCCGAGGTGCTCGACGCGCTCGCTTCGCCAGAGGCGAGAGTGAGGGCGGTGCAGCTCTCGTAGGCGGGTGCCTTCGGCGAGGAGCAGGTATAGATGGCAGGGCGGGCGGAGCGGGCTTACGGGGCCGCCGATTAGACATCACCCATCGGACTGCTCTCTCACTGCCTCGAATTCCTGGGTGAATTCGCAGACTGTGTCGCCGACCAGCTTGGGATATGGGTTAGTCAAGAAAGCGGACTTTGTCAACTTCGCGCATATCAACCAAGTTTTGTTAGAGGTGGGGCTTCTGGACCACTAGTGTAGACATCGTCCTCCCCAAAAGCACACGCAGCGGACTTAGTAGTCCGAAGAGCTTAGTCGGCTGCGGTGCGAAGCTCATAAGCCTGGGTTGGACCCACCCTCGTGCAGCTCGGCCAGCGCCTGCGCTGCGCTCCGAGGGAGCCGAAAACTCACAGGCTTTGGATGGGAGACGAGGCAGACCCCGCCAAGAAGAGGCGCTGCGCGGATTAACCTCCATCGCACACTCAACCTGAGGAATCGCCACATACCCCCTGGCCGCTCCACCACCAAGAGTGGTGAGGGTGGAGGGACACGCAGCACGAGCAGAAAAAAGGTGCTCTTTAAAACCGCGTGAGCCTACTGTGCGTCGCCGGGAAGAAGGGAACGCCCCTCTAGTCGGTCCGGCCGCGGAGCTGGGGGATAAACCATCTCCAACCCACGGCCGAAGCAGCCCGGGAAAGCACGGCTAACACGTCCGTTTCAGTATCCGTTTTGACAGCACTCACCTGCCTGAAGGGGGCGAGCGGGTCCGGATCATCGTCGGACAATGAAAGCCCACCCTCCGATGCCGCGGAGGACATCTGATCTCCGGTGTCAGCGAGCGTGAGAGCTACCATCTGATTAGACGGATCACTCCCAGCGCCCGAAGCTTGGATGGAGCGCTTGGAGGAGCGAGAGGTCCGCGAGCCCTTAGGCGGCGGATTATCTCTCGCTGGAACCCTCAGATCTGCCCGAGCGCCCGCTGCAGAACAGGAGGCGACTGGGGTGGCTCGCTCTCTCACGAGAGTTTGCCGCGATCTCAACTGCGCGACGGTCATGGCATCGTAGTGACGACATGAACCGCCCCCGAGCACCACATTAACATGCTGGACCCCCAAACATGTAATGCAGTGATCGTGCCCATCATCCGGAGCCAGGAAACCCCCGCAACCAGAAACGCACAGTCGGAGCACCGTCCTGAAAAGGACGTGCTGCACGACTGTGTTGCTCTTTTAGGATGCTTTGCAACAATACGCACCGCTCTGGAGTACCGGACCCAAAGGGACGCCAGGCAAGGGAGAAACCCAGCTCGACCATCTGCCGCCGCGTGGACTCGCTCTGGACCGGGAGACACTCGTTCGCTCTAAGTGGCTGTAGACAGCAGGAGGAACCCTCATGAAGCTCGATCAGAAAAGTCTCTTCAGCTTAAAAAGGATAGCGTCTGCTGGCGCCAGGTGAGCTTATATACTCAGTTGATTGCTTATGCCGCTCACCTGCGCAGGCTTGCGCTGCCAATTCATTCTTAATTGGCCCGTTCAATACTCTTTCAGACGAGTAGCTTCTGAACCGAACCTCCCAATACGTGGATTTTAACAATCAAATCCACTTATAGTGCTTCCGTTCCCCCCGAAGGGGAACATGGAGTTACTCAACTATCTGCTGTAATGAAACCTGGATATGACATTATTTAAAATGCTCAAATCTGTATTGTAAAATGTTAGAACTTGCAACAGTTTACACACACAGCTGACACGTTAAATTTATCTTCAGGAAATTACATTATGCATTTATTATGTGTAAACTGGTTTACAGTATATGCTTGCCTTAACATCAAAATGTCTGAAAACCAAATGTTAAAAAAAGTTACCACCAAGGGTAGCTGAAAACAAAATCAAGTAGGAATCAAAATTATTTATTTATACAAAATCTTTAATTTCCCTTCAATTTATGCTGATAAATTATAATTTAATGGAAGATAAACTGCAATGTGTAAAACTTTTTTTTTTCTCTGTGTCCAAAGCCGCAAGAGAAAGAAAAAGTCTTCTCCATTATCTAGCTGTGTGTCTATGAAGAGTGACCACTCCATGGGTCTCCCCCCTGATCTCAGTGATGGAGCTGTCAACTCTGTGTGAGTATCATGTAGTTACTCAACTATCTGCTGTAATGAAACCTGGATATAACATTATTTACTGTAAAATGCTCGTAATTACAAATTTGTAGTGTAAAATGGTGTAAGCTGCAACAGTTTACACACACAGCTGACACGTTAAATTTATCTTCAGGAAATTACATTATGCATTTAATAGGGTTAAACTGGTTTACAGTATATGCTTGCCTTAACATCAAAATGGCTGAAAACCAAATGTTAACAAAGTTACCACCAAGGGTAGCTGAAAACAAAATCATGTAGGAATCAAAATTATTTATTTATACAAAACATTTAATTTCCCTTCAATTTATGCTGATAAATTATAATTTAATGGAAGATAAACTGCAAAGTGTAAAACTTTTTTTCTTTGTTTCCACAGCAGCAAGAGAAAGAAAGAGTCTTCTCCATTATCTAGCTGTGTGTCTATGAAGAGTGACCACTCCATGGGTCTCCCCCCTGATCTCAGTGATGGAGCTGTCAACTCTGACTCTGTGTGAGTATCATTTGCATCTACATATTTCAGTCCTCAATATTACAGTCCCTCTGAATATAATCATGTGGAGTTGACTGTTTGACAGAAGAACCTAGAATAGAAAAAAAAACTATAGCTGGGCAACGATTAAATTTTTATTGCAATTACATTATTACAATTTCTGTGATTAATTGCAACTTAATGGGTGGCACGGTGGAGCAGTGGGTAGCACGTTCACCTCACAACAAGAAGGTTGCTGGTTCGAGCCTTGGCTGGGTCAGTTGGCATTTGTGTTTGATGTTCTCCCCGTGTTGGTGTGGGTTTCCTCTGGGTCCTCTGGTTTCCCCCACAGTCCAAACACGTGGTACAGGTGAACTTAGTAAGCTAAATTGTCTGTAGTGTATGAGTGTGAATGTAAGAGTGTGATCCCAGTGATGGGTTGCAGATGGAAGGGCATCCACTGTGTAAAACATATACTGGATAAGTGGGCAGTTCATTCTGCTGTGGCGACCCCAGATTAATAAAGGGACTAAGCCAAAAAGAAAATGAATGAATGTTATACACAAAATTCAATGATAAATACTTTAAACAAATTATATGGTATTTTACAGCAGTATTCCCTTTATATATTAACCGTTAAAATATATTTTACATTACGTAATCAAACACAATATACAACCAATTTTCCACTGCCAGGGCATTTAATGATAATTAATGATCATTCATCTCCAATGGAGAGTAAGGCGGGGGCTGTGTGGACTTCCGATAATATTCATATGCGGAACTTTCGGATCTGATTTTAACTGCGCTGTGTTAGTGTGTGTAAGATTTTATGTTATTATTATCTTGGAAGGGCATCCTCTGCGGAAACAAATGCCAGAGTAGTTGGCAGTTCATTCTGCTGTGATGACCCCTGATAAATCAGGGACTAGGCTGAAGGAAAATGAATAAATGAAAATAATTTTAATATTTATATCATATCTAAATGAAGTTCTTTGTACAGTGGTAAATGGTTATATTTCTTCAAAATAATATAATAATCTTTTTCTGTTTCTATTTTGTCTCTTTGTTCATCCAAATCTTTTGTGTGAATATGTGTGTTTAAAATCAATTGAAGAGTTCACACTTAGCTGATGATTGATAATAAAGTTTGTTTGGCGTGCTGTCCCGGGAGAGAGCCCTGAGCTTATAAGATCCTCGAGCCCTGGGCTCCCTCCTGTTGCAAGGCGAGAGGGGAGTTTGAGCTCAGGTAGATCTCGATGACTACCCCTCTTGCTTGTTGTAGCTAAGTGTGGAATATGTATGCTGAAAGGTGTACTCAGAGTTTAGCTAATGTATTTTGATTAATTGTTTAGAGTGCTTGTTTTTGAACTGTGGGAGGAAACCGGAGGACCCGGGGAAAACCCACGCGACCACGAGGAGAACGAGCAAAACTCCTCACAGAAATGCCGTCTGGTTTGGAAAGGAATTAAACCAGGGGCATTCTTGCTGTGAGGCAACAGCGCTAATCGCTGGCCACCGTGACGCCCGTTTAAAAGGAGGGAAAGTAGGGTTGGGTGGGGGGGGTTTCTTCAAGACGAAGATATTGAGATGAGAAAAGTCTGGTTATTTATAGTGAGTTAAGGATCCTCTGATAGGATAATCAGTAATTAGCTAAAGTTGGAACAGCTGTGAACAATCATAAGCACGTGATCCTCTCGAAATTTGTTTATGAATAAACTTCACTTGTGTGTCTTATGTGTCTTACAGATATTCCTACTATCAGAATCACATCAGTCATTATAAAACAGAGGCAAACCTGCTGAATGATTCTTACCAACCAGTGCCTGATAATCTCCAGAGAGTCAAAGAGCAGCACAGATTCATTATGAAGATCAAGTACGAGAGCTTATTTGAGGGAGTGAAACTCCAGCAGAATCAAACCCTCCTGAACAGTATTTACACACAGCTGTACATCATAGAGGGAGAGAGTGAAGGAGTGAATGAAGAACATGAGGTGCTGCAGATGGAGAAGAGATACAAGACTCTCCAAGACACTCCAATCAACTGCAATGACATCTTTAACCCTTCAGCTGAAGCAGGAGATGAGGAGAAGAGCAGAGAGGAGAAAGAGCAGATCAAGACTGTTCTCACTAAAGGCATCGCTGGAATTGGAAAAACCGTCTCTGTGCAGAAGTTCATTCTGGACTGGGCCGAGGGAAAAGCCAATCAGGATGTAGATTTCATCTTTGTGCTTCCATTTCGAGAGCTGAACTTGATTAAAGATCATCAGTACAGTCTTCACACACTTCTGCTGGACTTTCATCCTGAACTTCAGCATCTGGACTCACAGATTTATGAGGAGTGTAAAGTCGTGTTCATCTTTGATGGTCTAGATGAAAGCAGAATCACACTGATGTTTTCAGACTGTCAGAAAGTTTCTGATGTGACTGAAGCTTCATCAGTGAGTGTGTTGATGTCAAACCTCATGAAAGGAGATCTGCTTCCCTCCGCTCTCATCTGGATCACCAGCAGACCAGCAGCAGCCAATCAGATCCCCTCAAAACACATCAGCCTCGTGACGGAGATTCAGGGCTTCAATGACCCTCAGAAGGAGGAATATTTCAGGAAGAGAATCAGAGATGAAGATCAAGCCAGCAGAATCATCTCCCACATCAGAAGAGCAAGAAGCCTCCACATCATGTGCCACATACCCGTCTTCTGCTGGATCTCAGCCACTGTGCTTCAAACCATCCTGAAAGAAGATCTGAGTGCAGAAATCCCTCAAACTCTGACTGAGATGTACATCCACTTCCTCCTCATTCAGACACACATGAGGAAGCAGAAGTATGAAGAGAGAGATCCAGAGAAACTCCTGCGGTCCAACAGAGACGTGATTGTGAAACTTGCTGAACTGGCTTTCAATCAGCTAATGAAGGGCAATGTGATGTTCTACGAGGAGGACCTGATTGAGAGCGGGATAGACGTCGCTGACGCCTCAGTGTATTCTGGGATCTGCACTGAGATCTTCAGAGAGGAATCTGTGATTAATCAGAGGAAGGTTTACAGCTTTGTTCATCTGAGCTTTCAGGAGTGTTTTGCAGCACTGTATGTGTTTTACTACTATTTACACAACAACACTGAGGTGATGAAGATGTTCCTGACAGGACAATACAGAACTCAGAGTGAGAAAGTTCCTCTGGATGTGCTTCTGAAGGAAGCAGTAAATAAAGCCTTGGAGAGTAAAACTGGACACCTGGATCTGTTCCTGCGATTTCTTCATGGCGTCTCACTGGAGTCCAATCAGAGACTCTTACAGGATCTGCTGAAACACACAGAGAACGACCCAGAGATCATCAAGAAAATAATCCACAACCTCAAACGAGGACAGAAAAACAACATCAGTCCTGAAAGATGGATTAATCTCTCCTACTGTTTGATTGAGATGAAGGACAATTCTCTTGTGGAAGAAGTGCAATTGTTGTTAAAATCTAAAGCAAAAAGTAAAATTCTTTCTCTTGCACAATGTTCAACTTTGGCAAACATGATCCTGATGTCGGATGAAGTGCTGGATGAGCTAGTCATTAAAAAGTACAACATCAAATCAAGAGAAGGCCGATGGAGATTGATACCTGCTGTGAGAAACTGCAGAAGAGCTCTGTACGTACAAATATTAACCTGCACAGCAAAATGACCAGTGTTAAATAACGGCAGACCAACACTGAATCGAAATTAATTTAACAATGGAAAGATTGAAACTTGTAATTTCATAATCTTGTTTGTTAAATGTAAAGATTACATAATGAAACTATTTCTAGTTCAGTTCTTATCTTATTTCCAGAAACAGCAACGAAGTGTGGGTGGTTCATTCCGCATTGGCGACCCCAGAATAATAAAGGGAATAAGCCAAAAAGTAAATGAATGAATGAACAACGAAGTGTGGTCAAAAAACACAAACATACTTGCTATTTTTATGCCTCTTTTAGTAATGCATACATACCCAAAACGCGGCAGGTGGACAAATCTAAACAAAAAATATTAAAACAAATATAAATAAGCATATAAGGAATACAACTACCTATAATAACTTCTAAACAAAGCTTATTTTGGGGTGGCATGGTGGCTCAGTGGTTAGTACTGTCACCTCACAGCAAGAATGTCTCTGGTTCCAACTGGGTCAGTTTGCATGTTTTCCTCGTGTTGGTGTGGGTTTTCTCCGGGTGCTCCGGTTTTCCCCACAAGTCCAAAGACATGCGCTATAGGTGAATTGAATAAACTAAATTGTCCGTAGTGTATTAGTGTGTGTGTGTGTAAATCAGTGTGTATGGGTGTTTCCCAATACTGGGTTGTGGCTGGAATCCACTAAGTAAAACATGCTGGAATAGTTGGTTCATGCCGTTGTGGCAACCTCTGAAAAAGAGACTAAGCCGAAGGTAAATTAGTGAATAAATGAATGCCTTTGACTGCTTACCCTGTCAGATAGATGGTAACTTTCTGTCATATTACGCCTACCAAAAGGGTACAATTGGCAGTGGAAATGCAAGCCTGATTACCACTCAGTGGAAACAAGGCATTACAGTCTTAAACGCTATTGAAGACCCCATTTCATCAACATGCCTTTAACCAAAGTTCTACTTTTTTCAGATTGGCACGATGTTATCTTGCAGATCAACACTGTGAAACTGTGGCTTCAGCTCTACAATCATCAAACTCCCCCCTGAGAGAGCTGGACCTGAGTCACAATAAACTGCAGGATTCAGGAGTGAAGCTGATCTGTGCTGGACTGAAGAGCCCAAACTGTCAACTCAACATTCTGAGGTACGACTTTTTTTCTTTTATCTTTCAAATGTGTTACCTTAATTCATAAACGTTTAATGAGCACTATTGAATAGGATTTTGGGGGACTTTTTAAGAATTTTGAGGATTGACTATAAGTTAACTAGTAAGTCAAATGGAAGCCAATCAAATGGAGTCAAATCTCAAAGTTTGAGACAGGCAGAGACAAAAGTTGGGTAGGTTTTACAGCACTACTACATACAGCTCTGACCAATTAGGTATTGTCCTTGGTTTAGAATAGGGTTGGGTATCGAAACCCAGTGCCATACCTTTGGAACCGGTATGCACCGGACCGAATCAGCATATGAATTTCAGTGCCTAATTCTGGTGTCACTGGTGCTGCGACAAGAAGGTAAAGCAGGTCGCACACCAGAAGTGCCGCTCGGTGACACGCAGCGCCATACATTTTAGAATTCGCAAGTCAGCAGCTGTCCACTGCGCGCAAAAACGACTCATGACTGTTCATATTTCTGCTGCTCCACAAAGCGCCATCTGAATAGTTTCATTTTAAATAACATGCAAATGTGCACGTCTGGTGTGTGATACTATCAACTGTCATGTGCACGCCATCCGCCATGTGACACCCTTAAGAAGCATCAAAGGGTGCATCAAAGGCACACATAAGTACGTGTTTTGTCACACCATCTCTAAATGTTTAATTCTAAACAGCTTTGAGGTATAGGGATGTTAGCGATGTCAGGCGCTTGTTATTGTAGCTTATAGAAGGCAAAGCGCGCAGTAAACATTTGGTGACAGCACCACCTATGGGTCAAGAGTTAGAAGACATTCATCAGCCATTATTAATGAAACCTACAAATTTGGTAAAAACTTTTGATTGCATAAGCTTATTTTGTTGAGGTTGGTCTTAAATTATTCCTTGGGTCATGCCGACAACACAGATTCCAATTATGTCATAATCTGCCAAATTTCCTGTCCACCTTTTTGATTTTGTTTAAACCATTCCTTATTTAACTCCTAGATTGTAAGTCCAATCTTCACCACATTTGACTTGGATCATCTTGAGACCATGTAGACCAAAGAAATTCATGTTGATAGACACAACTGTTGTCATTTAGCACATGCACAAACGTGATGTAATGCTGCCAGATGACATTACAGGCTGAATCACTGCAATGGTTTGAAGTATTGAAACTAAACTTAATGTGTGTGATCCAGACCTGACATTGACCAAACTATGGGCCACCTTCTGGGTAAAATTGACAAACAATTTAAGTGAAGTTTCATAAACTAATTTCGAGAGGAGCACGTGATATGATTGTGCACCGCTGGCCACTCATCCGTAATCAGTAATAATCCAATCAGAATGATCCTAGCTTAGTATAAATGGATCACTTTCTCCCCATTGCATCCCCATTTCTGCCCATCTTCATTTTGGAAGAATGCTTCCCGCTACAAACGCTCCAGCATTTAAACTACGCTTCAGCATCATTCAACCTTCTGGCATGGAAGAACAAACAATCAACAACAACAACAACAACTTCTCCAACCAGAACCCCGCTCTCCCCTAAACTCCAGCAGCTGCCTCGCCAGCAATCGAGCCAGAATCCCCGCAAGAAGCCGGCATATCAACTCTTCCATCTTCTACTTCATCTGCCCTTCACTACACAAGCCACAACTTCGTCTAAACTTATGACGCCGGCGATTCAAGCCACCGGAGAGAAGCCGAACTCACAGATCACCTAACGTTAACGGTCCACTTTCGGTAACATGCATGCTTTAAAGGGAAGTCTGGCGAGATCAGCGTGAATAGAACGCTTTAAATGAAGAACTCACCTCTCAGCCTCCCGCTGGTCAGCAGATCCATAACATTCTGACAGCTGAAATAGTTCGAAGGCAAATGACCAGGCAATCTAATCCATAAACATTATTCCATAACACCTTCATTCGTCGATATACATCCATGAAAAGGTGCACTGATATCCAAACCAGCCGCTGGTGAGAGTGGAGCCATACTTTCACGCATAAACATTGTAGCGATCTGATCTACAAAATGGCCGCCGGCATTTGCACTCTGAACTCTTGACCGTGACTCCAAGGAGCCAATAGCTTAAAGGGGAAGTATCACCATCCAATGAGCTTTCCAAAACTGGAGACGGTCCCGCCTTCTCTCCCGACAAATTCATGAATGGACTGCGTGCAGAGACTTTGATTCCGGCCAAATAATCATGTTGAGATTACAGACATGTTACTTATCATGGATGGAGTAAAGCCATGATAAACATTACATTCACACAGTTCCTATTAAGTGGCAACATCGTTTTTTAAGTTTGATGTAGGCAGTTGATATATTTACATTTTATTAATAATTATATATACATATATTTAAAAAAAAAAAAAAAAAAAAAAAGGAAATAAAATTCTGAAATGAGTATTACCCAGCAAGTGATAGACAACCTACACATCAAGCAGTAACCCTTTTGTATCATGCCAATTGTGACTCTCATATCAATACACCTGAATGTCAGTCAGTTTATAATGACAGTAAGAAAACAATTTCCTGCTCGACTGCAACAAACAAGAGGAGGACATTTCTGGCCATGGAGTAGCCTTTCATACTTATACTTTGTGTTAAATACATTCGAGTTTTAAAAACTTCTATATCAGTAAGGGGTTTAAACTCCACTCCATCATCATCTCACCAGCTCTCCAAGAGGTTTCCTGGACTTCCAGCATAGAAACGCCCCATACGCTCAGTTCTCCTTCTAATTACCACCCTGCAGGAGGACAAATGCCCACTTCTACAACCCTAGCACATTGTGACATTAAGTATTGGAACATGCATTAACAAAGGCGCTTCCATTCACAATCATCCATACACTTATGAAGACTCCTCCCACGAATATCAGCCAATACAATTAATCATGTCTGCTGTACATGTGCCATGTTGCTAAGATTTCATTTCTAATTAGGGACCGAGCACCGAAACGGTGCGTAGGCCCTATTGGAATTGCTCCTTTTTTATTATTATTATTCCGCCCCCTTTCGGGGCACTTTTGAGGGTCTAAACATGCCCGAAAACTCATGAAAATTTGCACACACACCATACGCGGTGTAAATGGCTTGTTGATATGGGTCTCGGCAGTGGGCGTGGCAAAATGACTCGACAGCGCCACCTAGAAAAATTAAACGGACGAGCCCCCGATATATGAATCACGCACATGCACGAAAATCGGCGCACACCTCAAACATGCCAAAACATACGAAAAAGTCTCTTGGAGCCATATCTCAAACCCAACAGGAAGTCAGATATTTTTAACTTCCTGCGGCGAAAAAGTGGCGTTTTTGCCATTTCCAGGCGTTGTATTTTAACGAACTCCTCCTAGGGATTTTATCCGATCGACACCAAAATTGGGTTTTGTCATCTAAAGGCCTTGGCGATGTTAAATTGCGAAGCTTTTGAGTTTTCGTCGATGGGCGTATCTGTGGCGGCCTCGCAAACTTTGACGATTCGCCACAAAACAGGAAGTCGTTATAACTCGGGCATGCATTATCAGATCTGCCTCAAAAATCATACGCTTGATAAGAGTCCTGACCTGAACACATTTACATAGCAATATCCAGATACAGTTACAGCGCCACCTGCTGGCCGCAGGAAATGACATGATTTACAGAGTAACAAACTCCTCCCACAAATTTTATCGTATCAGCACCAAAATTGGGTGGTGTTATCTGAAAGCTCTAGCGATGATATATTGTGAAGATCTAGAGTTTTCGCAGAGGGGCGTGTCTGTGGTGGCATGACAAACCTCAATGCTTCGCCATGGAACAGGAAGTCCTTATAACTCAGCCACACAATGTCTGATCTGCCTGAAACTTCACATGGTTGATAAAAGTCCTCTCCTGAACACATCCACATAACAATATTGAAGTGGGTGTGGCAAAATGACTCGATAGCGCCACCTATAAAAATTAAACAGACGAGCCCCCAATCCACGAATCACGCACATGCACGAAAATTGGCGCACAACTCAAACACACCAAAACATACGAAAAAGTCTCTTGGAGCCATATCTCAAACCCAACAGGAAGTCGGATATTTTTAACTTACTGCGTCAAAAAAGTGGCGTTTTGCCATTTCCAGGCGTTGTATTTTAACGAACTCCTCCAAGGGATTTTATCCGATCGACACCAAAATAGGGTTTTGTCATCTAAAGGCCTTGGCGATGTTAAATTGCGAAGCTTTATAGTTTTCGTCGATGGGCGTGTCCGTGGCGGCCTCGCAAACTTTGGTGATTCGCCACAAAACAGGAAGTCTTTATAACTCAGGCATGCATTATCAGATCTGTCTCAAAATTCACACGTTTGATAAGCGTCCTGACCTGAACAGGTTTACGTGCCGATATCCAGTTACAGTTATAGCGCCACCTGCTGGCCACAGGAAATGACATGTTTTACATCGTAACAAACTCCTCCCACAAACTTCATCGTATCAGCACCAAATTTAAGTGGTGTTGTCTGAAAGCTCTAGCAATGATATATTGTGAAGATCTAGAGTTTTCGCAGAGGGGCGTGTCCGTGGCAGCATGACAAACCTCAACGCTTCGCCGTGGAACAGGAAGTCCTTATAACTCAACCACTCAATGTCCGATCTGCCTGAAACTTCACATGGTTGATAAAAGTCCACTCCTGTACACATCTACATAACAATATTGAGTCAGTCATAGCGCCACCTGCTGGCAGAAGGTAGTTTGGCTTATAACTCAACCACACAAAGTCCGATCTGCCTGAAACTTCACATGGTTGATTAAATTCCATGACTGAAGGCATTTACATGCCAATCTTAATTTACAGTTATAGCGCCACCTGCTGGCAGATGGTATTTTGCATTATAACTCAACCACACAAAGTCGGATCTGCCTGAAACTTCACATGGTTGATTAAATTCCATGACTGAAGGCATCTACATGCCAATCTTAAGTCACAGTTATAGCGCCACCTGCTGGCAGATGGTAGTTTGCAAT